GCGGCCTCAGTGCAGACATGGCTTCCGTCCGGGGCCAGCGCTGAGCTGTCACTGCTGCTGTGCCTCCACCGAGGGCATCACCGTGATGTACAGCAGCCAATCTGCCAGAGTCTCTGCCTTAGCAACGTAATGAATGCTATGACTGTGCTCCTCTCTGCCACCATTTTCCAGAAAGTTTGGGCCTTTGGGGTCAATGAGAAGGACGGGTAGGATCAATATGTTCATGCTACTGCAGGAAGAGTTGCCTCAGTCATTCATGCAGAACTATTCCTGGAGTGCTTCTTCGATTATCAATCATGTTAGGAACACACAATAGAAAATGCAGGTGTACAGAGCACCTGCCCAGTAGCTAGGATTACTCACAGAGTCAAACCTCACTTTTTAATACGAATGCTAAAAAACAACACCAAGGTTAATTATTTGCACTCGAAAATGTTCATGGATTTCCTAACACACATTATATAAAGATAAATCTAAGAAAGACATAAAGAACATATGTGTTCATTAACATTCTGTATCAGCCTAGAGAAATGGATGGTTTGCCCAATCGCTGTTAAAGTGTCTGTGTCTCTCTAATAAGTGCATACACCTTCTGGAAAGAAGAGGAAAGAAAGGAAAGAAGGAAGGAAGGTAGGAAGGAAGGAAGGGAGAGAAACGAAGGAGACCTCAGACTCCAGACATAGTGAGAGGCACACAGAGCGATGATCAGGAGCAGGGACGATGATCGACCTTCCTGGGCTGAAATCCCTGTGGGGAAACTTAAAGGCTATATAGCCTAATCCATATTCCCGAGTCTATGGAATCTTACTTATATCAACTGCAGAAGAAGCCCATAGGCTGTGAAAAATGAAAGAATTCCACACATATAACACACATAGGATATTTCTTGGTATATGTGAGCATAGAAGTTATTAAAACTGTTAATGTGAGTAAGTAAATGAATAAGGATGATATGCACACACATATAGAAAACCACTATTTGAAGTTATATTGTAAATATGGACAACCACTGGCTAGAACAGGGAGAAGTATGAGAAAAACTGTGAGGAAACACATTTCCACTCCCCAACCCCGGATGGCCCACGATGCGGCCTGACACAGGGATAGACCAGCTCTCCTATGCTCACAGGAAACAGAACCTGACCAAAAGTATGTACCACAAAGACCAGTGCAAGAAAAGCCCAGTCAAGGATTTGGGCTCTCTGAAGTCTTGAAAGATTTAAATGTCTCACCACGGGCCTGTGGCTCTGGCCCCCCAGTCCCTGGGAAGCCCTGCACGGGAAAGTCAGGAAAGCCCGCAGGCTGTCTTGTGAAAAGCAGGTGACCTCAGCGTCCCCATGGAGCAACAATGAGGTGCAAGTGAAAATCACTTTACAAAGTGAAGACAGTCACTATGAGAACGAGGTTTCCTTCCATCCCATCACCAGGCCCATGATGTTGTCAAGACAAACAGGCCCAGCTGTGGTGGCACAGGCCACAGGGTACCTCTGAGTGACCCTGGGGCCGTAGGAAGGCCTAGGTTCTGATCCTCGGTTGACCTGGACACCGTGGTCACTCCCGAGACACACCCTGTGGTCCTGACTGCCTGGAAGGTCTCAGCAAAGCAAGACCCTCTCGGGGTCTCACCCTACCACCTGCTACCTAAGTCAACCAAACAATCTTTACACATAAGTAAACGTATCTATGGTGATGGTACTCAAGGTCACCAACACCGATTTATCTTCCAGTTCCTAACTGTACTCTGGGAAAGGGGCCGCAGGCTCAAAGGACTGGAGGAGAGGTCTTCACTGTGAGAAAAGTGAGGTAAGCGAGCATTAGAGGAATCTTGAGACACTCATGAGAGGAGAGAGAGACTGGGCAGAAATCCCATCAATGACATCATCACCACATGCTGCCTGTTTGGTGAGAAAGCACCGAAGTGGAGAAGGAGACAAACTAGGGTTTTTTCATGGTTTAATATGGAGCCTTCCCTGCTCTCAGCATTTTCTTCAGAGCCCCTGTGACATCCTTATTCCGAAGACTGTAGATTAAAGGGTTCAGCACAGGAGTGAGGATGGTGTAGAAAAAGGACACGACCATGTCCTTCCCAGGGGTGTGGTAGGAGCTGGGCAGCATGTAGGTGTAGACGGCGGCCCCATAGAACAGGCTGACCACAGTCATGTGGGAGGAGCAGGTGGCAAAGGCCTTCCTCCGGCCCTCAGCGGAGTTCATCCTGTGGATGGTGAGGAGGATGAAGTAGTAAGACCCGGAAATGACTATGACAGGGATCAGGAGCATGAGGACACAGCACAGGTACATGAGTGTCTCGTAGACTGAGGTGTCCGAGCAGGAGAGCTTCAGTACAGCGGGGACCTCACAGAAGAAGTGGCGGATCTCGTGGGATCCACAGAAGGGGAAGGTCATGGTGATGGGAGTGAGCATGAAGCCATCCAGAGAACCCACGAACCAGCAGCCAGAGGCCAGGAAAATACACGCCCTGTGGTTCATGAGGATGGAGTAGCGTAGGGGATGGCAGATGGCTGCATAGCGGTCGTAGGCCATGGCGGCCAGCAGGCAGTACTCTGCACCCCCCAGCAAGAGGTAGAAGTACATCTGAGTCCCACACCCAAGGACCGAGATGGTCCTCACCTTTGCCAGCTGGTTCACCAGCATTTTGGGGACAGTGACAGAAATATATATAAGGTCCATGAGTGAGAGCTGATTGATGAAGAAGTACATGGGAGTATGCAGAGAGGAGTCAATGTGGATCAGAAGTATCAGTATAATATTCCCAGACAGGGCCATCAGAAATATACTGAAGATTAGGAAGCAGAGAAGGCCAGGGTGTGAAGTCTGGCTAAAGATTCCCAACAGAAAAAAGTCTCCATCTAGGGTCTGGTTGGCTAGCCACATGATAGGGTGGCTGACTGAGGTGACTTTACCTAGAACAGAAGTGCACTTTATGTTACTCATAAGCATTTGTATACCACACATAATATTAGCTCTAATTTGATTTTTTTTTAACTTTTTGAGAGGTTTTTGCTATAGGGCACGTGTGCTTGCCAGAGAGACAGAAAGCAAGAAATCACACCCCAGCGGGGGGGAATGGCCACACCGCAATCCCTTCTCCTCCATTCTCCTTACAGAATCTTGGGCACGCAACGCACATGCGTCCGAGGTGAGTTTAAACCACCAGGTCCGGGACTCAAAGCACGGTCAACTACATGGGAGTCCAGCGACATAGCCACTACATTAACTGCTGGTCCCAACAAAGAAATAATTTTTAGGAACTCTTGAAGGCTGCAAGTAGAAAAAAATCTAATTCAGCAAAGAAAGGAATTTCACCCAAAGACGAGATCAGTGCAATGGTAAAAGCAATTATCCCAAAAATAGGCCGAGACTAACCCTGAGCTCAAAGCAATGAATACAAAACCCAGAGGCCCAAAGAATAATTATTATGACGATTCAGTAAATATTTATAAATGTTCACAACACAAAGTAATAGTAATGTTTGAGATGATGGATATCTTTATTACCCTGATTTGATCATTACCACATGGTATTCATGTACTGAAAATTCACACCATGCCCCACAAACACGTACAACTATTACGTGTCAGTTACAATTTTTAAATTTGGGGGATACAAGGAGCAGCAG